AAAAAAAAAAAAAAGAAAGAAAGAGAAGTGATGGATGTTCTTATATCTAGGCTAAGATCCCATGTAAATAGCATCATTTTTACTTTATAAACATATTGGGTTTCTGAGGCAGGTCTCCTTTAAAGCTTCTGAGCTAAGAGTGGGGGAAAAAAACAAAACGGAAACCACCCAAAAAACAAACAAAACCCAACTCCACTCAGCACTGTGGAGTGGACTCATAGTGACCCTTGAGGGCAGGGTAGCACTGTCCCAGGTGGCCATTTTGCCACCAGGAGGAGGCCCCTTCCCTCCCAGAAATGTGTAGATATGTGTGTTTGTGTGTGTGCTCGAGCGTAATCATGCACTCTGGAAAACAGCCCTATTAGATCGGGAGCTTAACTACCTGGTGAATTTTGTGCTACATTGGTTTTTGACCCAATGATTAAAATGGTAACAATCCAGCCCCTCATTCTCTTTGTCTTTTTGACACTTTTTAAAAGCTATTTTCCAAAAGAACAATTTGTTTATGGCAGCATCTATGTGTAGCCAGCTCTCCCCATCTCTCCCGCACTGTAGAACCCTTACGGAGAGCAAGTGGGAGCAAATTCATGAGTGGAACAGAGATTACTAAACAAATAGACCATACCAAGGAACTCAGCCTGATTTCACTGGACCCATACCCCAGCAGGGGTTAAAACTGCTTAGCCATACTGTTTGGATGGGGTTGAGTTTGTTACCTAGGTTAATGATCTGTTTTGATGGATATATAAAAAAAACTCCAATCTGATAGCCCCTCACCTGCAGGTACCAGTGCTTTACCAGCCTCAGGAGGTTTTTTAGCTTTGTCGGCCGATGCTTCACAAAGTCCCTCTGCAGCTCGCTGAAGGACGGAGAGAATATTCCTGGGTAACCGTGGGCCTTAATCAGACTCTCATAGACCTCAGGTGGCGGCTGAACATTGGGAACCAAAGGCCCTGAGGAGAGAGGAAGCAAAGGGAGAGAACGGAGAGGAGGGAGCCTCAGGGTGATACGCAGGCCACGAGGGAGGGCCTACTGATTCAGTGGTGTCCCCTCTCCAGAGAAACCTGAAGTCTCACACTCTCAGCGATCAAAGCTATGTCTTCATGGCTTGTTCTTCTGATGAGATTCTTTCCCTGGACAATGGAAATTCCCATTCCTTAGGCCACTCCCTTGATGTCCCCAAGACCCCCTGTTCTCCTGAATGTCTGTTTTGGAGCTTTTTTCTCTGTGATTATTTTAACCTCCAAATACCTATAGGGGAGATGTAGCCTAGGTTAAGAAAGCTGGGCTGAAGGAGAGTGTTTGCCTCAGGGAGTATGATTGTCCATGACAGACATCCCTAATCCATCCCCACACTCCATGACAGACATCCCTAATCCACCCCCACACTCCATGACAGACATCCCTAATCCATCCCACACTGCATGACAGACATCACTAATCCATCCCACACTCTTTCTTGTTAAGATTGGGTAACATCCTGGCACCTTTGCCCTGTAGCTCTCCAGACAGTTATTAAGAGCTGGCACATGAGGTGAAACCTATTTATCATCTGGGGTTGTAGCCCAAAATTGTTTAACCCACACAGCCAGGACGCTTGGCCTGAAGGCAAACAAAAAGTACCAGAGAGGTCAAGGCCAGGAGAAGCAGCCCCGAGCCAATGACTCGGGGAAGTTGGCAGATAAACA